TTCCCTGCCCTCCCCCCCGGCCCCCCCCAACGACCTCCACTTTCAGAAGCAAATTAAATTCTCATGGTAGTGTCTTTAAACCAAAGCATTACTTCCCAAAGCTGGACACAGAGCTGTTTAAGGAGGCAGCACATCACATGCCAGAATCCTGGGGCACCGCCATCCTGCAGGCTGGAGCTCGCCATGTGCTGCAAGGGGACTGAAATTCCAGTACATGAGGGGCTGCCGAGAGAGTGAATGGGGGATGAACTCCATAACAAAAATATACATTTTAAAAAAAAATGAAATACTTCATTTGTGAAAGTGTCTTTTGATCATTATAGCCTCTGGTTTTAACCACTCTGGTGACTCCTGCCAAGTATGGTTTACTGATGACACATCATCATGGCACCAGGAAAGGACTTGTTGATAAGTTAAATAATGGGACTACTTTCAGACCATTTTTATAGCTTAAAATTCTCATGGCATAAAAGAGTCATCATACAGTTATTTCACTGCAGAGAACTGTTATTTTTCTTAGAATAACTTTGAACTCTGTAGCTTTTGGGGAGGGAGGATGTTTTTCAAATAAAACCCTGCTTCCATTCTTCCCCCAAAAGCTCAGCTTGTATGAGCTGGAATGATAACAAATTCATGAAGATATGTATTCAGGCAGAGTGTAAATTTAGCCAGAGCATTTATATGTTACTAAATCCAAATAAAGATCTAAAGCAAGACGCAAAACACCACAAAACCCAATGTTCCAAAAGATATGGACTGAGATTTTTAAAGCTGACTAAGGGACTCAGCCACACAAGTCCCAAAGAAATTGATTAATTATGTGGTTGATAATCTCAGTTTATATGCCAAGTTAACTCCTGATATAAATTCATTGTCTTCAGCGGAGTTACACTGCAAATGTATTTGACAGATTGTCATGTTTCTCCTCCAAGAATAACTTCTAAGGCAGAAGGTTTAAACATGAGTGAATGAAAGTCCCGGGCCAAGTTCTACCCTAATTTAAACCCTGTACAAAACAGCTGACTTGGAAGTGAGGGTGTAAGGAAAGGCAGAAAGAGACATGAGTCTATTCTTCCTTTGCTGGGACATTACATCAATTCCCTTAGGTAATGGTCATGTCTCCAAAAAACACAGCGGGAATCCAAATTGCAGTTTGTTGGAGATTCTTTCCTTCTAAGCCCGCAAGTTCTTGTATTTCACAAGCAGTAAGCGTTCAGGGAAGAGCTTGGACTAGTCTCAGTGGAGAACCGTGAAATTCACTTCTGTTAGGTACTGCATCAGTCCGAATCTTGCCTGCTTCAAAATGCATTTCACCTTCTTTGAGGAGAAGCACTGGAAACATTCATTTTGACATGAATATTGGAATTAGTCACCTAATTTAATCAGAAATTAATGCGTTTCAGACATTCTCAACCTCAGTGTTATTCTGAATCAAAACCCAGCGTTTGGATTTTTTTTATTTTTTTTTTTTTTTAGTGTGTTGGGTTATTTTTGGCTTATTATTAGTATTAGAGTTAAGCATGTCTAAATAAGGCTGACTGGTCAAACAGGGTGCACACACCTTTGCTAAGGTGAGAAGGAATTAATGCCCATCGCAGCTCTTTCTATGCAGCATCACTAAGGACACAGAGAAGTTCTGTGGCTTTGCCCAAAGCATCATTTATGCCCATGGCACAAATCTGAGCACTACAGCTCTAAGTGCAGTGAATTCCTAATGTCCCCACTTCTGATTCTTCTGCTGGCAGAAGTGATTTTACTAAAAAGTGATGTAATCTGGCAGTAAGTCAGCTCAACGTAAACAAAATGGCTCCGCAGTAATACCCCTGCTCTAGGGGGATCATTGCTAGGGCGGATGGTGTGATCCAGCAAGCTGGTTTCTGGCCTGACAGCCCAAGAACTTGGATGCCCTTCCCAGCTCTCCTCCTGTTGACTATCTGCAGTCAAATCAGCTAGCAAAGCCATATACATTGTTTTAATACCCAACTGGATGTCAGGGGTCCATCTGCTAATACCCCTAATGAGGAAAAAGACATTTCCCATCCAACGCAGTTTGCAATAGTTATAAACAGGACAGGCGCTGGATCGAGAGCATCTCACGTTCCCCATCTGTGAAACGCAGGTGCTAATCTTCAGCCTTCTAAAAATGTGGGGAAGTGAAAAGCTCCGTAGGATGGGCTGTGGCATTGCCACGAAGGAGCGCAGGAGCGTTATGAGGGAATGGGCCAGGCCAGAAGCAAGGAGGCTGAGCAGAGCCAGCCCCACAGGAACAGCAGCTCTGCACGGCCCCAAGCGTCCCTTCCCCCAGACCTGGCATGATACACGTGGCTCTGAAGCGGACACTTCCCCACTCGCAAGGGGTTGTGCTGAGGTGGCATTTTCTGCCCTTCACCTGGCCCAAGCAAGCCCTGTGCAAGTACTTTATCTCCGGCGGTGCTTAGCAAGCGACCCTCTGGGCTTACTGTGCTCCCCACTGAGGCCTGCCAGCCGTGGCAAGGAATTGCCATCTGGCCCCATGCGTGGCAGCCACCTCCCACTCTTCCTTTCTTCCTCCAGCCCCCTCCTGCATCTGTTATTATTTGTTATTTCTGCATGCAGGCCTCCCTGCTGGAGATGAATACAACCTACTTCTTACCTCCTCACCAGAGCTTACATCTGTGATCTCTAATTCTTCACCTCTGTAGCACTCGACGCCTGCACCATTTCGTCCCGTGTACATAGCTGCACCTCTCTTCTCCCAGGCCCATCTCAGTGGCTGTGGTCCAGTTCTACCTTTCCTTCTTATCACTTGTCACCTCCATCTTTTGGGCTGTCTCCAAAATCAGCTCTTCTCACTCTTTTCCTTCAGAGCTGCTGCCCTCTATCACCTGTCTCAGACATTAATGCTTGGCTGTCTGTCTTCCAGTCCCCTTCATCACTTTAAACCCCCTCTCCAGCAATTTTCATCTACAAGCACAGGGTTATCATAAGTGGACCGTGTCGAAATATGAAAATAGCTGGACAGGTTCCCTCACTCTCTGCCACCTTTTCTCTCCATCAGCAACTCCAGGTACAGGCACAGGGTAAGGCACTGCAATACAGATAACCCATTACTGCTTCCCCTTCAGAGTACGGCTGTGAAAGAAAAAAGCATTTTTAAAATCTGTTCCTGAAAAGGAAGGTGGTAAGGAGTCTTCTGAAAGCATGTCAGGAAAACTTTTACCCTGCATTGGTTCCCCAGTCAAAATAGAAAAAGAAAAGAAAGGAAAAAAAAAAAAAAAAAAAAAAAAAAAAAAAAAAAAAAGAGCATGCTGTGTATTTTACCAGCAATTAGAGAACCAATTACTAGCAATTAGAGAAGAGTCATGACCAAACTTTTGAAACATCAAGATGGTTAAACTATTCCAGCTGAGGTAAATGTGGGGAAAAAGGTCCTGGTGCAGACATCATCATGGATGGAAAATAAGCTACGCAGAGATCTTCTTGCAGTGTTAGTGACATCCACGTTAGGACTATGACTCAAAAAGTTACTTTGGCTAAGAATTGCCACATTCACTCTTGAGGGCCAAGGAGACCATTTCTGCAAAGGCTAATAAAAATAAAAAATAGGATTTCCTAAGGAAAATAGAAACTTAAAATAACACCAATTTAAATTTTCTTCTTATGTAGTGATCTCATTTCCTTAGGATCAGCTTCTTATTACCTCTCCCAAGTGTGAGGCATAGTTAAATCTTCCTGAAAAGTAATGTTCTGATTGTATTTAAAAAAACAAAAAAACCAAAAAAAACCAAACAGGTTCTGATTAAGCAAGGCTTAATTCATTATATTTATTCTTAAGAGTGTTGCCTTGTTCTACTCTTGGGTACAGAAATCTGGGATGTGGGGCATTCTCATGGCTTTAACTTTCAAAAGGATCAGAACTGGGTTTAGCTGTCACCTTTTACCATCCATATGCAACTGAAAGAAGAATGGAACAATCCTGTAGGGCTGACAAGGAAAATTTTTCCTGTAGCTGAAATCATTGCAATCATAGCTAGTGCAGTGACATCTCTAGCTCCATTTTAGAAATGCAGAAAGGATTTTGAATAGTTGGCAGTGGTGAACGCTTCATTTACACCACAGTTCAAGGCACTGCTTAGTTTTAAATTAGAACATAATACTCTGACAAAGCCTTTATAGGTTGTTTTTAAAAGGGAGTGGAAGGATAGAAAAAATTAAGTACAAGAACATAAGTAGCAAGAGCTTAGCCCATAAACTGAAACTGGGAACTAGTTATCCAATGCTCCAAAATCTAAAGCATTATTTCTACTTCTGCAAATTCATTAATAGCATTTGTTGACCATTTGTTTAAAATATTATAGCTGATTGCTTCAGGTGACAAGCAGGCAAAACAGGGAAGATGATAGATAAATTGTTGCAAGGAAGGCATGCCAACATACAGAAGGAAGCTATTTAGCCAATTATATGTTTACCTTACAAGGTTTAAAATCTGAAGGGAAAGTTTTCAAGAATTAAATTATTTTGAACACTCCTAGTTTTGAAGCTTCAAAGCATCTTGGTTCAAAAACTGCTAACCCTTTTTCCACTGGTTATGGGAAATCTAAAGCATCCAAAATGGTGGGTTTTTTCAAAGGTCATCTGCTCATAGCACTGTAAATGAAGATGTTTGGGCTTTTTAATGGTAGAAGCTACTGTGATAGAAAAAGGTGGAAAAAAGTTAGAGACTACCATTGGAAACCTCCTGGTATTCTTTGTCCTGCATTGTTACATGGGTAAATGATTAATGCTGAAAAGAGTTTGGGGCTTGTGTTTTTTTCATTTTGTTTCTCCTGTCAAAAAATGTGAAGTGGGCTGCAAACAGAGAAAAGGTCTCAACTCCCACAATAAGCAATGCTGAATGCTACTCACAGTTCAGGGGAGCTGCTACATGCTCATTCACCCAGAAAAGTTTGCTGGGAAAGCTTTAAAAACCAGATGAGCTGATGGCTTGTGCATCTCAACTGGAATCTTTTTTGTTCCTCCAGCTCTCGTCGTGCGCTTCTTGACCAAACGGTTCATCTGGGAATATGACCCAACACTAGGTAGGTTGCATTTTATTCTGTACACATGGTATGCTGTATATAATAGCATGGCTGAAGTAATGGAATGTCATAGAGCTAAAATTCCAAGCCCCAGTCAACCTTTAAATTTGCTGTAAAAAGCTTCTCTATGGTCATTTAAAGCTGGAACAAATTATTACCCAAGATGGCAGAATACAGAAGCAGTAACACACTCAAATGAAAGCAGAATTAATATGAGGCAAATTTCTGCCCACACAGAAGTCAGTGGGAATTTTGCCATTGAAAGCAATTGCGTTAGGGTTTCACTCTGGAAATTATTTAGTGTGTGATCAGTTTTCTGCTTTTGCATAACCTAAACATCAGCTGCTAGAGAATAAGATGGCTGGGATACAGATCTCAAAAATTCAAGGGAAAAAAAAATTGGAGATACTTACAGTCACAGCCTACCTACCCTTAGGTAAGTTTTTTTGTCCTCACTTTCAAACATGCATTGCATCTCACTTTTTGGGTGACCAGATAGGGACACCAGTCATCCAAAGGGACACATGTCTCCTCCATTGCTCCCCATTAGCTGTGTTGGATCTGGCACGTTTGAGAAGCTCTCAAAGATATCTCAAAAAAAACCTGTCAAACAGTTGGTCTAAGAGGCCTCACTTGAAAATTTGGGCCAAGATCCGATTTCTTAGTATTTCCTAACTTAGCATATATGCTCTGCACCAGAGAAAATCCAGGCCAAGAAGTCTGAGATGAGGCATTAACATCTTACAAGGCACCTTCAATACCTCAGGACTAAGTGATTTGCACATGGAGTAAGGGGCCGGGAAATTTAATTTTCTCCTACAGTCTGTTGCCATCTCCTTCCTAGCCTTTCTTTGGAGGCTCAAATACAGATCATACAGTTAAATACCTATTTCTTGTTAAGGTTCTTTCTCCAAGAGGTCTCACTAAAGAAACACAGAATGCCATAAACTTGCACAGTAGAAACAAAGATGCAAGTTTAATACAATTTATTGCAAAACCCAGGCGGCCCTTTCAACAAGGCAAAGTATCCAGTATTGTACTAAGTATTTTCATCTGTTAAGATGAAGAGATGACCGATATCAGAAATCTCATATTGGGAGAATAATTCTCAGGACAACTTGAACTCAAAAACATTCTTTTATCTGCTAATATCAATATATTTATTCATCAGTGAATTATATGTCACCTGCCTTGTACTGCACAGTGGGATGTTCAGTATAATATTCTATCAGTATTATTAGTACCAGTACTTCACATCTCTATCCTTAATACATCATTTTAAGAACCTGACAATAGAAGTATATGAAGTGGTTTGTATCAGTATAGTCCAAGTTCATTAATCTCTTACGGGGACACTGCATGCAAAAGTATCCTTATTGCCTTGTTTAAGCACACAATGAATACAACTGCAAATTACCTGTGCCCCTCAGGAATCTAATCGTCTTCTGTTTGTAACATGGAAACCTTTCACGCAGACAACAGTCCTATCTCAATAAAACAAAAATGAAATCTCTTCTGACTTACTGAATTCTACGTTCTCATTCAGTTTAGAGGATAACAGCTTAAATGATATATTACAGTAATTGCGAAGCCAAGTGCTTTAAGTTGCTCAGAGGAAAAGGTTTGAGAAATTCAAAAACTAATAAGCCGTTGTCAATAAGTTATTTCTTAATCACAGTAATCTCTGGTGGAAGTGGCCCACCATAAACTGTTTTTTAAATTATTCTTCTTTCAAACTTTGGATCACAATGGGATTCAAAGGAGGCTCTGAAGTGTTAGAAAAAAAAAATCTGAAATTCTGGCCACTATTCAGGCCTTCAGAGATCAATCAGAAAGGGACTGTATCTCCAAAAGCTTTGAGAAACAGCACTTGGAAGAATGCATTTCTGTCTTTATCATGATCATCCTGTGGTGATTTAGCATCCACTTACCTGTAAACATCACTGAGCTGAATTTACTGAGAAGTTTTAGCAAAGTAGATTCATTTCTTCTTCACAGTCACAGACTGGCAGTTAGGTGGAAAGAGGGATATTTATGTATTTCACCAATATAAAAAGTTTAAGTTGTGTCAGTGAGGCCCATTTGCCCTACAGGGGCAGCTTTGTCAAGTAATTTTGAAAGGGCAGGAGTAAAACAGATCCAAACTATCTAACTACTAAGCCACAGGAGGTTTGTTTTGCCAAAAATCACTAGGGCTGTGACTAAAATGTCATATTTATAGTTTATTTCTTATGTCAAGTTTTCAGCCACCCATTAGCCCTCCGATGCAAGGAATCCCCAGATAATTCCTATTTTTAGGAAAGCTTTCACCAAGCTGTACAAGGCCTGATGGAAATTCAACGTTATCCTAAACTAAGCATCAGGGTAAAAAACCTTGTCCTCTTAATTCAAGGGTGGCACATTTTAACTGGAAAGGAAAAAACACACCCTATAAATATTCTTTATTACTCTAACCTGCTAGAAAAAAATGAAGGACCATATTTTTAGCAGCATCTAGATATACTGCTGTATCTCCAGGAGCCAAATTACAAACCACAAAAATAACATTTTTTGGCAGGGGGAGCATCACTGAACCTTGCAAGCTTTGGCACATGGGACTGCTGCTGGCTTTGCAGCTCTGCCACTTCTGTGCACGATGTTGGACCTGTGCGGGCATTGGTAGGACAGCTGCATATTCACAAAAAAGTGCATATCACTGTGCTTTTTATCTTACTATTCTCAGCCAAGGGGTAACAACTGCAGAAAAGATCATTTTTCAGGCGAGCATTAAACATCAGCCTTGACTTCTCCATCACTTCTGCTTAATTGGCAAGTCACTGTCATCATCTGGGCATGTTTTTATTTTTCGACTGGTTTTTTTAAAATGGTCCTAATCACTCAGACTAAGTGGTTACCTGGCATTATCAAGGAGAATGAGTTTCCACTTTCAATCTGTATTTATAATAAATCCCACGACTATCCCACATGTGCAACAGAATTAGAAGGTCCAATGAAAGAGCTCTATGTGGAAATAGGCTGGAACTGCACCTTTAAAAAGAACACATACTGTTGTTTTCTAAAATATTAAGTATATGAACTCAGCATTAAGCTTAGTCTTCTTTAGCTTGTTAAATATGTACTGAGAAAGGTGATTGGTTTACCACGTGGACTTCACCAAGACTCATTGAGGTTTATGTTTTTAAATAGAACATGACTCACAAATCAATAAGCAAATTCAGCATGGTGTTAGAAGGCCTAAAAACACTTGGCCTGGTTAGGGCACCACTTAAGCCACAGCCTAAAAACGCTTCACAAACAGAAGCAACACATCCGCGGTGGACTTAATACAGAACTGGAAATTTGTGCTACATTTCAGTTTGGCTCTATTAAGAGATTCATAGAAGCAGCACAAAAACAAGCATTCCTATGTGCCGTTTCAGCAGTGCTTGCCAGGAGCAGGGTGGCAGCAGCCTGACAATTTTCCCGCCACCGAGGCAGCTTGGCTTGGGGAGAGTTTGCAGCCTGCAAGCAGCCACCCTCGCAGCAGCACTGCTGCGGCTGGTCCTTTGGGGGCTTGACCACCTCACCACTGCCGCTAAACCAGAAGCATGTAAATGCATAACACCAGCATCGTCTCAGGGATGGACGTACTCGATGGGGCTGAGTTTCAAGGTAGAGGTGCAAAGACCTATTTTTGGCCACCTACACTTTGTAGGTAAACTCTCGGCCTGAATGCAGGAATCCCATAGACCTCAGTGACCCAGAATGTCACACCACAGTTTTCAAGGCAGCTGTGAATAGCCGCTCTGCTCAGTGCCAGTAAATAGGAATAACAGGCTGTATCTCAGAAATTTCCCCCACAAGCTAGTGGCAGCGCCACTAACAGTGTCATTTGTTCTGAATTAGCATTTTTATGTACAGTTGGGAGAATCAGGTGCTTTCTGAGGCACAAGGACTTAAAACATCCATTTTTGCCATATAGGGAAAAAAAACAAGTAAAACCCCGAGGAAGTACAGGAGATGGGTTCCTCAGTTCTTTTCTTGATTCTGTCACTGGTTTGTTGCCCACAGTCTCTCCGCCTCTGCTTCTCACCTATAAAATCCTTCATCTCATAGAAGGGTTGTAAATCCTTTAAGTAACTAGTTCTCACAGAGTTAAGACTTATATATCAAAGGTGCTTTAAATGAAAGTCTGCTTATAAAAATAATTGCAACCAAGGAGTTAATTTTTTTTTTTAGACCATTCTAAAAGTCACTTGGCTTTCTTACACTATCCCTAGACATCTTTCTCTAGCTGTTCACATATTTCATATAGCTTTGCTAATCCTCTGAAAGGCAAACTGTCTCTGAGCAGATAATCAGCAGAACAGTACATGACAGACTGGCCCACCTATGAAGGCAAAGAGAGACAGAAAGCATGGGAGGTTATTTAATTTGAATGGGATACAGAAAAGACTACTCATTAATTTGAAGGAACAGAGGTAACTAAAGAAACATGAGTCTTAAAAAAAAATATTGTAATTTTGCTAGGACTACTAGATTAACAGTGACATTTTAAAAGAGTATTTCTTTCAACTATGTCACAATTCATTTAAGTCACTCAGGTTTATGTTCACTCTTTCAACTAGGAGGGGAAAAAACCTGACTTGGTGTTTCTATAAAGTCCTATCTAATGCAACATATAGACAGCCCATAAGGCACCATCAAACATGGGTAAAATGTGTAGGTATCAGTAAAGCAACAAAGATAGGAGCTAAGGTGGTACCAATTGCTGTCCCACTAGCTTGATTATGAAAGGCCCGTGATAGCACCGTTCTTCTCCAGCGTAACACGAAACAGGCAAAGGACTGCAGAAAGGTGCAGTAGGTAAACAAGTGCTTGGGGGAGGGAGACAGGACACCTCTGTTAGAGCCCCCAATTATCTCACAGCAGAGAACTTAATCTCTATAGACTAGCTAAAGACTTATAAATTTCACCGCTGTAGCCAGAACAGCAGAACTCACTTCGTGAAGATAGTTTAC